TCTCTTCTCCATCTCATTAAGCAAATTACCCAATAGATCATTCCCATATGAACTGCTTCGACCAATCTTGAAACAATCTCTTCGGCTTTGTATGATCTCCATTAGTAATCTATCAACCTCCATCTTCAATGACTTTATTTCTCTGTTATATTTTGTTGGATAAAACCTGTAAAAAGTTGATAAAAAATTCACACATTTCACTCTATCTTTTATCTGTACAGATGTATGTACAACTAATACACCCCAATATAACTTGAAAAAGGTACTCACCTGCTTCCTGGAAAGCAAAGGTGCCTGCTGGCTTGAGCACAAAGGTGTTGCAGAGAGGTTAAAAGATGGAATATTTGCTTTCCTTTCTCATAACTGGTATCGAATTCGGTTCTCGCGATAATATCAGCAGTGAGTCTAGCCATGTGTTCGCCGATTTCGAACTCCTTTTGCCCAGATTTCGTTGCATTTTCCAGTGATTGTAGCATATGTTTAGTGCATTCCACCATGTGTGTTGAATAACTCTGTTGAATTCAAATTCCAAAAATAACAGAAAACATAAAATGAGCCTAGGAGAGCATTCACCTGGTTGCGGTCTTGACCAGAGCCGGAATAGTAAACGAAGGCAAACGGTACATCGGATATTACCTTAAGCTTATCTCCCATGAATGCCGGAGCCGCAATATGTCGTTGATGGTACCAATCTTGGCCGTTGGCCATTAACAAGCCTCTCCCTGTGAAATGCTTCGAGCCTTGCTGTTGCAGCCATGATTTGCCTGTCACAAGGTGGTGCTTTGTCATCAGTTCTTTGATCAATTCCGTCTCCGTCAAGCACATCCTCGGCTCTATCCCATGCCAGTATATAAACCTTTTCCCTGGAAACAAACACAAAGTTCAGCTCTCTCAAAATCACCATATCTGATTTCCCCAGAAAAGGAAACACAAACTGTCATTACCATATGAATTAGACCACTTGACGTAATGCGGAAGAAGGCGGCCCACGATGTCGTGGTGGACGGAGTTCATGTCGTTCACGGTGGACCGGGAGGTTAGATTGAACATCTCGGTTATGTTTCCGGTTAATCCCCGGGGTTTGGGGCCACGAACTCCTTGTTTCTCCATGATGTTCTTGATGCGTCTGGGGATCAAAAAATAACATTGGATGGTGTCCAAAACAAGTTTGAACACTAAAGAAATGAAAAGAACAGAAAGGGTTATCAAGCACACCACCATGGCTGCCATGGCAGTGATCTCTGCAAATCAAGAATTACAAGTTGAAAGGAACGATAAGAAAAAAAATAGTATTTGATGAGTTTAATCATCATTAAGGCATGATGGGAATTTATAGTACAAACAAACCCCATTATGTATATATATATATTTTTTGGTAACAACATTATGTATTTTTTTAGGAAGGAAATAACAAAAAATATATATATAATTGGGCCTTTGAGGAACAATGAATTGGATTTGGAGTTGGCATATATGGCATGTTGTTTAAGCACTAACAGAAAAGAATAAAAGGCAAGTTTTATTAAGGATTTATGTCTAAGATATTCTTCTTTATATAAATTTATATATTAAGGAAAGTAATAGGACTGTACTCGTGTGAGAAATATGAGTAAATTTTATTTGGTATTATAGACTCGATTATGCTGTCTTTTTTTCTTTCATGTTCAACATAATACTTCATTTACAATGATGAAAATACAAAGCAATGAAATACCTAAAAAATTCCTTCCAGAGTGCAAAGAAATAAGAAAAATTAAAAAGATATAATGTTTAAAAATATATCTAACATTAGATTAAATAATCATTTTGGACCTTATCTTTTTTGGAGTATTTTAACTCTCAACGCTTCATTTAAGGCATAAATGCCCCTAACGTTGACTAAATTATCACTTTAGCTCATTCTTTTTTTTCCTAGAGCATTTTGGCTCACAACGTTTTATTTTAGAGCAACAAGCTCATATATTGAAGCGTTTATCGTTTGCTAACAAACGATTTCTATCCGTGGAGGAGGACCAAAGTAATTATTTAATTAAAAAGTTAGAAGCATTTTTATCATTATGCCAATTAGAAAATCATGCCAATGTTTAAATATGATATTATTACAAAGGGTAAACTACATATTTAGTCACCCAATTATCACTTTGGTTCTGTTTTGGTCAGTTATTTTTTTTAAATTATACCTAACGTTATTTTTAGTTTCGTTGTGATCACTTATTGTAAAAAAATAAGCAGAACTATTGACGTGATGATTTTTTTTTTTTCAATAATGACGTGACATTATCTTATTTCAACACGTCAATATCATCGTAAACAAAATCAACCATATAAAATTGTGTGTTCTTATTTACAAATTTTCCATATAAAATTGTGTGTTCTTATTTACGATTTTTTTTTATTATTCTTCTGATTTCGTAACTACTATTAACCATAGAAACTGAAATAACAATATCGGATGTAGGCGTCTAATCTTTCTACAAATGCTGTATAGAAGACACTAGAGAAAATCATGGACGTCCCAAAAGCCGCATGAAAAGGGCATCAGCCATCAACTCGAATGCTCTCGAAACTAGTGTCCATATCCCAAGTAAAAACACTTCAAATAAATAGGGATTAAACGTGAACAAAATCAACCAAACTGTGTCCACGTAACAGATTTCGCTTTTTCTTTTTAAATAGTTTGAATGATTATAATGTACTATCTATCATAATCTTTCGTAATGATTGATAATATATACATATCATACAATTGTAGTAGGTGTTCGAACCCAAACTTTTAAAAAGAAGAATATACCATTTTATCGCTCGAACCGCTCAATGGGTTCCACAAAATGAATTGAAGAGGGTGTTCAATGGAATCACCAACGACAACCCCGAATGGGATAGTTAGAATTTGTAACGTTACTTGGTAGGTTGTGCTTACTTAAGGCAGTTTAGATTCGAACGTTCAACCGATTCTAACGATCGTTCTAGTTTATGATCCTTTTTGTAGTTGAACATTACTTGGTAGAATGTGCTTACTTAAACTGCTTTTTTGTTTCAGAATTCAATGCATAAAAGGATAGTTAGAATCAGTTTTTAAGAATCGGAATCGTATCATCTTTGCATTTGTTCTTTCGATTTCTTTTTCCTTTAAAATTAATGTTCAGTGTACTAATCCGTCGGCATGGTCAAGGATATAGGCAAGCCGGTGCGTGAAATTTATGGAACATTAGAGTAAATGTAAAGTTTGAGTAGCTTTAATTAAAGAGATTAAACAAATGTCACCGATGGCGGAAAGTGAGTATAGAAGATCTCTGTTAAATGATTCAAGGGCTTTTAGATTTGTTGCACATTCATTTTTCATATTCTCTGAGGTAAAAGTGGGACGGATTCCATTTTTAATCAGTCAAAAAGGTGGGAAGAGATAGATATGAAAATATAACGTAACCAACGGTTCGTTTAAGTGATAAGCAACTTGATATCGTTTAATCAAAACCTCATATTCGAGACCTTTTATATGCAGAAAATCCTTGTTGGGAGACTCGTCCATCAAAATCAAGTGTGCCACCTAGATTGGTCCAGATAACCTGGAATATGCCTTGAAACGGGAGAGCAACAAAAAAAATGTGACATAAATTTATAAATGTCAAATTATATAATAAATTGTGGCAGATTTTATTCTGACTGTCGGAAGTCTCCCACGGAAGTTGCTCTCAACCTGACGTTGGAGGCAGCCTACTATCCTACCTCCCCTTACCCTATTACATATGAGAATAGGGTCAACTAAAATGATTGTATTACGAGAAAGGTTTGCAATTTTATCATTAACTTTTCTACCATGATTAAGATTCACCTCAATGTTGGCAAGATCATCAGTTATTGCTCTTGCAATGATTTCAAAGCCTTAGCGCTTGAATTCATGCCGAAAGGGAACATCTAGAAATGGTTATACTCGTACCATTATTCATTGCACATTCTACATAGAAAATGATAGACGTTGCATGGCATTTGGTACATCCGAGTTATATAATTCACTGTGGCCTAAAACCAAGTCATATCATATTTGCACATGTGGGAGATTTCGGCATTGTCAAACAGTCGCGATAAGCAAATACCATGAAACAAACTATGGTGATTGCTTCTATTGAACATATGGCACCAGGTGGTCATTTCATTCTCGAGTTCAATTTTATGGCTAGATGTATGGATGTACTAGAGCAAATGGATCAATTGGCATTGTGGATTCCAATTTGCTACGAAACGAGGATGAACATTTTACGGCTATAGCACAAACTCTATATCAATGATTATGAGCTTAGCTTTGGAATGTTCAGCTATGCGATGCATTTGCTTTGCATAGTTGAACATTCCTTGGAAGATTCACGCTTTCTTTTCTTCCGTATATTCAAGGCTACAGCTTTTGCACTGGCATAGGGATTTGACTTCCGATTCAGGGTATCTTCATCACATCGATTGGTAATAAATTTCAAAAACTAACATGTAAATTTAGATCCAATGTGCAATGTGATGAAGAAATGTGTTTTTGAAGAAATGTTTACAAGTAAGAGCAAAGTAAATGGCAATGTGCTGTAAAAAGTAGAGCACATTTCATTCAAAGGAACTCATGTTGAAAACCATCAGTAGAGCTAAGAACTCACACCGACTTTGGCATATCGAACATCAAATATACAGGCAGATTAGGAGTTCATTCGCACAGATTATATGTGTGAATGTGCCTGTGCCTATATAACTATATGCATGTATGAACCTCTTGTAAGTAAGATTATTCTCGTGATAAGCCTTTCGCGTGAATCGGTGTTCGATTAAAGAACATTCATATACTAATTCACACAAAAAGCTATCACAAAAATACTCAAATCATACAATTGGAGGTATATACGTGCATATATAAAACATGAGTCTTAAACAAACTCAGATTCACACAAACAAAAAAACTATCACAAGAACATTTAACAACAATGGAAAGAAATTGCAATTAAAAATACAAGAGGTTGCAAACAGAACATTATCAATTGAAACAGTTAGGATAAATTACCACCACTTGTCTGCCATAAATTGATAATATCAGTAGCGTGATTGAGCAGGTGAATCCTGTGCATGTGAGATATCCATGGCTTGCTTTCAAGCAAAACCTTGAGCTGTTCCCAAGCATCCTTCGTAGGCCAAAAGTAATATGGACTCAATGGGATTGAACCATGCCCAGATATCACTTGATCAAGTGCTATCCCTATATCTTTTTCCATCCATATGAACTTCAGTACTACCCTTGGCTTCTCCAATGGCTTCACCACCACTCTAAGCTTCTACATTCTCCAAAAAAAAACACAGAAAACCCATGAATCTAAGTTCAAAATCATTCCAGTTTTCTCTGGTGTTACAAGATAAAAGCCAAAACCAACAAAAAAGAAAAACCCAATAAACTAAGTTCAAAATAACCCCATTTTCATGGTTTTACAAGAAAAAAAAGGTAAAGGAATTAAAGTTCTAAACTTTGGTGGCTTTCTATGTAGCAGAACATCAATCGAATTAAACCCATTTTTTCTCCCCAAAAAAAAAAGAAATTGAAGGGAATAAAAATGGACCCAAAGGTTACCTCTTTTACAGAAGAAGATACAGAGGGGGAATCACCAGAAAGAACAACTTGTAAAGAGATTATGGATTTAGCCAGCTTTGAGGTTTTAGGGGGAAAGTTAGGTTGTTGAGAAGGAGATGAAATTAAGGGTTTAAAGCAAGGGATTAGATTTGTGTGGAGACATGTTGCAACCATTTTTTTTTCTTTTTTTCTCTTTGGATTGGGAATTCTCAAATTTGCTTATGCAGCTTCTATGTGTTAGTAGTACTGTAAGTAATATTGGTGATGGGCTAGACCAAGACCAGTCCCAACTTTTTTCAAGTTTTCTTTGCCTAAACTTGTTTTTCGTGAAGTGGATTTAATTTGAAGTCCAAAATGTATTATTTATTTAATATTATAATATTCAAAGTTATTTTATATTCATGATTATATACGGGAAGATTTTCTATGCTCGAGTACGACAATCATTATTAACAAGGATTACCATTAATTTCATTTATAAATATTAATTTAATTTATAAATATCTAAAATTTTAAGGATTGAACGTATATTTATAAATTAGTTACAAAATTAAATGTAAATTATTTAAAATAAAAAATAAATTATATCAGTAACCGCCTAATTATTACCTCTTTTAATTTTGACTACCATTTTTAAATTTTATTAATCAGTTCACTCAACTATTTAAATGCATTCAATTAAGCCACTTGTAATTAATATTTAATGGAGAAGCTCATGTGGCAGTTAAAATATTTAGTATAATTACACATTTGGTCACTGTTACTTATATATTCTATTAATTTGGTCCTAATTTTAATAAATTAAAATAAAAAAGAATTGATTTTATTCTATTTATATATAATAATGATATACATTGAGTATTATTTAGCCATCAACCCCATCTTTCCGTTATCAATTCAAACACTATATCTTTCAACATATAAATACTAATTCAACAACAATTTTTATATTTACTTTAATGTAATATGTCCATTCTGTACTTTATAAAATTATTAGAAATTATATCATCACAAAACAATGAATTATGATAATAATAAAGAAATGAAGTATATAATAATAAAATGTTATCATTATAAATAATTTAATTTTCTGGATTCTGGGATGCGGTCAAATGGTTGAGAGTTATCTTAGAACATATATCATATTGTACTTACTCCAAATTAATATGAATTTTAAAAGTTTTTCCTTATCACAGTTAGATAAAGTTTCTCAACTAAAAAAAGATTAATTATGTATTTAATCACTTAACTATCACTTTGGTTCTATTAGGTTATCTAATTATTTGTTTTTCAAAATCTTCACTAATGTTAGGTTTTGATTTAATTTTGATCATCTACTGTAAAATATTAACAGAACTATTGTCTTGAAATTTTTTATTTTTTTCAATGATAGTGTGGCATTACCTTATGGTGACATGTTAACATCACTGTTAATTTTTTAAAGATTGTTGACCAAAATGAAACAAAAAATGTAATGTTAGTGATGATTTTGAAAAAAAAACCAAATAGTTTGGTGACTAAAACGAAACCACACGAATAATTAAGTGACTAAATATCTAAATTATCCTATATTTTATTCAACTTGAATTTTTAGTACAATTCTTTTTGTAATTTCTATCCTAAAATCAATTCTTTAATTTTTTTTACTTTATTCTCAAAATACTTTTATAAAAAATAAAATTATAAATATATCAAATAATTTTATATAATATTTAATTTTAATAAATTAAAATTAAGACCATATTGATAGAATATATTGCAATAGTGACTAAATGTGTAATTATATCAAATATTTTAACTGCGACATGAGCTTCTCCATTAAATATTAACAGTAAGTGGCTTAATTGAATGCATTTAAATAGTTGAGTGACCTAATTGATAAAATTTCAAAAATTGTTGTCAAAATAAAAATGAGCAATAGTTAGGTGGTCACTAGTATAGTTTATCCTTTTTTTTAAATAATTTATCTTTAATTTTTTAACTAATTTATTTTTATATGTTGAGTCGTTTAGAATTTAATTTTTTATAAATTAAATTAATGGTACTCATCGTTAGTAGTGTTCATCGGTGCTCATTGAGCGTTGTAGAATTTTCCTTATATATTTATATAAATAAATTAATGATAACTTTTTTATTATAAGATAACAATTAATGATTCAATGTATCTATATCTAATTTTTTGCTATATTTACATTATGGGTAAACTATCAGTTTTGGTATATTTTAGTACTTAAACTTTTATTTTTTTTTAAAAAAATCATACCTTACATTTATTTTTTGTTTCATATTAGTACCCCATTGTTAAAAAGTTAACGGCATAGCTGGCATGATACTTTTTTATTTGGCTAAATTATATGTTCATCACTCAATTATCTTCTCACTCCTATTTTTACCACTAAAATTTAAAAAAAAATCAATTTAATCACTATACTTCCAAATTACTCCTATTTTGATCACTCTTTGATGATATGGATTATTTTATTGTTTATTTTGAATATGACAGGGAAAATTTATTATTATTTTATGTTAAATAAGATTTATAATAAAAATTAAAATCAAAATTCTTAATCTTAACACTAAATTCGCAAACCCCAAAGCAAATCTAAACCCATCCTTAACTTCTTCTTCTTTAAGAAACAAAGGATACCTCAAAACCCCATACTAGCCCTTGTTTTTTTCCTTTCATTTCCTTCTTTTCCCTTACATGATGCAGTGTACGATTGAGTTAAATTTTTTTTTAAAAAATGATTAACCTTGTTGTCCATACTTATCTTCATCAAGTTCTTGTTCTTCTTATTAAAAAAATCATTTCATTTTGATATTATGATTAGGCATGTGAAAGTAAAAAGGGGTAATATTGCTTTTGTTTGATTGGTGATCTAGTGACATTGATTATTTTGCCTAGAAAATAGGTACAAGTAGAAACTCATTTTTTTTGTTTCATACTCTTCATCTCTTCTTTGTTTTAGTTTTAACAGGAAATGAGGAAGCATGGATGGCAACTTCTTCTCATCCACTTCATGTGGTTTCTCTTTTGTTGTTGTATTATTGATACTTAAATTCGTTTTTTTTGTATTCATTTGTTTCCAGTTCGTAAACGATTTGTTTTTAGGGGATTGTTATGTTGTGGTCATATGGATGTTAGTGGGGTTGGGTTTAGATCGATGATTGGGTGATAAACTATATAATTTATCCAAATAAAAAAAGTATCACATTAGCTTACCGTCAACTTTTTAACGACGAGTATTAAAATAAAATAAAAAATATACGTTAGGTATGATTTTGAAAATATTAAAAGTTGAGGTATTAAATGTATAATTTACCCTTACATTTTTTGTGTTATGCGAACAAAGTAACATCAATGATTAAAAAATTTATTATTATTGTATCTTTTAAAATTTTAAATTCAAATACCATGAATGTCAAAATATTATTATTATTGAGGATATTTTTCCTTTCATTTGGATGATTTTACCTTAATTTTCTAAGTATATACAAATATATTCCTTCTTCATTATTCATCTCTAATTTTATTCTCACTTTTCTTTCTCTAATCCTTTTTTGTTTTAACGATCTTTCTTCTTCTTCTTTAGTTGTAGTCAAGCCTTCTTTATCTAATGATTTTTTCATTCCATTTTTAAGAGGAATTATTCTATTTTTTTTTCTTTTAAATAAAGGCAACTGAATTTTATTAATAATAGTGAATTAAAATTATAAAGCATCAAAATATAAAGAGAAAATTGAAGACAATAGTCATCAAAATATCCATACAAAAATAAAGTATTAAACCTAAATATGCGAATAAAAATAAAATATTTCATTGAGAATGATGATCAATATCAAAATCCAATAACCTTCATAAAAACCCATTGTTTATGTCGAATGAGATGTTTTACGAAGTAACAAATTAGTGATGAGCGAACTAAACAATCTGACAAGCTGTTTTGTTACATAATTCTGATTACATTTGCAAACAACATTTTATCAAAGAGGAGACCTGACAATACGTAACTACCAACAAACCAATAAAAAATAAATGTCTTGATGGTTTTTGTGCGAGTACCAAAACGAAAACAAAAATATGTGAAAAACGTACAAAAGATCGTGCCACAATGATATAGATTCTTATTCAAAATTAAAAAAAAACTCAAAAAATATAAAAGACATAATGTATAAAACAAACTTTTCTATTCATTGTAAAAGAAAGAGTAACACTATAAAAGTTTCACTTCTTTATTTTAAGTATACTAAACCCAAAAAAAATTATATTAAGCTTGTAAGATAACATTTAATTTTTTAAAGTACACCAGATAAAATTATTTATAAGATAATAAGTATACAATGTAATAATTTTAACTATTTATTTTCGTCGTGGATAAACTTTTTCTAACATTGCCTCACACATTGATTTTCTGGTGACTTATTTACTAAAAGAAAAAAATAAATGGTGAAAAGTGAACCAAGTAAATTAAATATACAAAATATTGAAGAATATTAATATTAAAATATCAAATTAAAAGGAAAAATATTAGAGAAAGCACGAGTGACACGTAGTAGAGTCATGCGTATGCATGTTATTTAGAGGTTGAAACATGAAGCTGAGACAGTAGAGGATGACAGCCTCTCGTTTGTTCTCGCTTCCATAATAATAACACTGAAAATACCCAAGGAAAATAAGAACATTCAAATAATTTCGGAAGGACGTTACAAAAGAAAACAATGAAAGCAATATCACCACCGTCGACGGCTGCCATAATCATTCATTCTCATCATCACTACCCTAGTCACCGCCGCTGGTTTTTATCTCCACCGTCTCTATCAAACCGTCAGTACCACCACCTCTCGGTATCAATCGCCAGACCCCATAATCTTAAGCTTACTTTCATAGCAAAAGCGGCCGATTCAACTTCTCAGCCTTCTGCTACAAAAACCATTGTCAGTGACGATGGATTCTCACTTTCTAAGGTAATTAGTCTATCATTCATGCTTTTTTTTTTGTGTGTGTGTGAAAAATGGTAAAAACGGATATTTTTATTGTTTTTGATGGTTGAGATTGATTGTTTAGATGAAGTAAAGGTTTGGTTTTTGAGACAAACGAAAATTTGTATCTTTAGCTTGATTGATTTGTAACAAGAGTTTTGATTGTGTTGGATTGGGAGTTGTTGAACCATTACTTAAAATCTAGTATATTTTTTAGAAATTCACATCCTTGATCCTGATTTAAACTGGTTAGAGCAATAGTTGGATTTAAATAGCGGTCCGCTATCTGAGTAGCATATGTTATATAGTGGTAAGTGGTAACAGTCGTCTGAAACCGTTATTGCAGCCGTAATGATCACAATCATGATAAACACATCGTAATCGAAAATACAGTCGGAACCTCAATTAAGTCCCTGATTGGTCTATATACAATGGAACACTTCATCTATGAGTAGCAGAATTATCTTGTTAAAAACTTGAAATGTGCCACCAAACTGCTGAAATCAATACAATGGGTCAGGGTTTGTAGTTTCCTTTCAGTTGAATCTCTTCATCGGATGATGATGAGCCAAAGATGATGTGATCAGGGCAATAGGTCTTACTTTGACAAAGCATATGACTATTGATAATTGTTCATTTGCAGCTTTCATTTGGTGTTATCGGACTCGGTGTCGGACTTTCGCTCCTCTCGTGAGTGCTTTACCAGTTTGGCATTTCCCTCTTTCTCTACTGTATTCTGGTTTATCCCTCTTTACATGTTGAATATACAGATATGGTTTTGGGGCATATTTTAACATTCTCCCTGGATCTGAATGGTCCGCAATAATGCTGACTTACGGCTTCCCTCTTGCAATTATCGGAATGGCCCTCAAGGTAAAGGTTTTCTTCCTTGGAGCCTGATTGAAATGGATTTTTGAAATCATTTTGTCTCATATTTCCTCATTATATAGTAGTCTCGGATATCCAAAATTAGGACTTCCACGTCATTGTTACGTGATACCTGAAGGTCTTGCTTTCAAATATGTTTTAAATTTCATCCTGGCTTAAGTTGGTATAACTGGACTAAACATCTTCATCATAATCACATTTGATAGATGAAATTGCTTGTTAAAGGCATGGAATACAGATTAAAAACCTTAAAGGTCTAAATTCCTTATCAATTATGACAAGCTCTGATGTTGTTCCTACTATCAGTTTTATTGGAGAAAGACTCATGTTTGCCACATCAGGATATGATGGGGCTATGATATTCCAATGACCTTTCAAATATTATATCTCTGAAAACATTGCAATTTCCCATAACAGATATGTATATATTATGCAGTTAGTTTCATAAATTCTGGTTGTTGGTTGTATTGCAGTATGCAGAGCTCAAACCGGTGCCATGCTTGACCTATTCGGATGCTCAAATGTTAAGGGAAACCTGTGCCACTCCTATCCTTAAGCAGGTACTTTCGAACTCTGGCAATACCAACTTCTTTACAAAATGTTTAAGATAATCAACATGAGATTCTTCAACAAAACCCATGTTCAACACTCCGAAATGAGTCCGAGTTAGTTTAGATGCCTAGCTGCTAAATTAGGTGAAATTCAAACATCCATGCTTATTATACTCTTTAATTTTGCGGATCACATCAAAAATTGACTTTTGTTTAGCTTTTATTAGGTAAGGAATGATGTTACAAGATACCGTTACGGGGACGAACAACATTTGGATGAGGCTTTGAAGCGGATTTTCCAGTTTGGTTTGGTATGTCTTATGTCACTCCGACTCTTTATATTTTTTTAAGTTCTCATGTTTGCTCTTGCATGGAAAATGAATATGGATATGATCCTTAAAGATCCTCCTAATACATAGAAACACGGAAAAATCTTACCATACCCATTCCGAACGCATATCCTATCCGACACTCACACTTAAGTCCAGGTAACATATGATGTCTTTTAATTTGTAAAAACCTACCATGAAAATTATCGAACCTATCAGGGAAAATTGCACCTAATTTATTGCCTATTTTCCATGTGTTATGAATTTTCTTGTTTCCAAATTTATGTTTTTGATTTCAGTTCTTCTTTATATACTCTCAGGGTGGAGGAATTCCCCGGAGAAATGCACCTGTTCTACAAATGATTCGGGAAGAAGTAAACTTTTTGAACTTAGATTTACTCATTTTATGAAATTTTTTGATTTCCAATTATAAATGGAAAATATTATTTGGTGTCTGTCATTCCCAACTCTTTTTTCCCTATGGCATGTACAATAATAAATGTGATTTCTGAAGAATATTTCGGCACTATGTTGCTGTAACTCTTCATTTTGCTTTAAGTGTCAGCATCCGGAACATATTCGGCCAAGAGTATGGGGATATGACTCTCCAAGAACTCTTCACGTACATGAAAAATTTAGAAAAAAAATTTGAACATATTCATTTTTTATTCATAAATATCCAACACACCTATACCCAAATTTGAGTAACATAGTTTTAGCATCTTTCCATTTCTAAAGTGAGGTTCGATTCTTTGCTCTTATATTTGTTATAATGTCTTAGGTCACAGAAGATGGTAAATATTGTTTAGTCCTGGTACTTGAGGCTAAAGCTTTGGAGTTGTCGGATTTCGAAAAGAGACAGGTAAACTAGCAAGCTATGCTTTTTACTTTTTCATTGTTCTTAAAGTATTCATATTTGGCGGTCGTGTTTAAAACATATTTGGAAGTGAATTTAGAGATGTGAACCTCCAAATTGAGGAAAAATTGAACACATGAATCTGAAATTCATACACAAGCATAGTAAGACATCTTTTGAAAGTACAATTCGACCAATTACATGTCCATCTCTTAAGTTGTCATTTATGAGTTTCTCCATGTTCTTAATATTTCTTAATTTCTTAATTTTAAGAACATGGAAACGATTATTCGAGTAACAGAGTATAGCTGAGTACCGAGTCTGTCGGTGTAACTAAGTTTGTTAGTTTCTGTTGAGGTTGTTGAGTAGTATGGTAGAGGCAATTAGTAGTTGCTAAGCTGATGTGTAACAAGTGAGACTGAGTTGTAATTCAAGAATGTTGAAAGTTGTAGAGTTTATGAGTCATGCCGCCTATATGCTTTAATTCAGAAGTTCTTTTGGTTTTATAAGTAGGATAACTTGATGATCTTAACTAAATCATGACTGACTTTGTAGGCAAAATTTGCTTCTTTCTTTGGACCAGGCATCTCAGCTGAAGTTGGTGAGTTTTCTCTTTGTAGTAATCCACATGACATACACACAAATATTATGTATTGGAAGCTTATAAAGTATATGGCTTAGGGAAGGGAGAGAATGGTGAATATGAAGTTCGACTTGTTTCAAATTCCACCTCTAATGCATCAGTTTCTTGAAGTATACCTGATTTCTTCAAGTTTTTTTTTTCTTTTCCTTTGCTGGTAAATTTTGTATTATATGTATAATCATGGATTGATTGGAGAGACAGATGAGGACAGTCGTCCCATGAAAATTTTAAATTCTCATGTATTTTTTAGAATTTTTCTTCGTATTTTATATTGATAATTTGTTTTTTTCTCTCAAAATTTCATAAGTTCACCCTGAACATAAAATCATGTTATTGTTCCCATGTATAATAACATTAGATTAAGGAATAAAATTGCAGAACAACTGAAACATTTTGCCAGGTAGAATTGATCTTTGCTAAAATATAACTTGCTGAGGGAGAAGATGTCCGTAGAGATTGTTAAGAGGCATAAACAGTTTGTTATAAGCTAATCCTACAAAAAATTAACATAAATAATTTATATAAACATATATAAAATATAATTATTAGAAAATTAATCCTACAAAAATGAGTAAGAGTAGTTTAGTTTTACAATAAAAGCAAATACCTCGGAAATATATATTTGGCATGTTTAGCAGCCTTTAAGGTGAGGGAAACATGCAATTTTGGAGGTAAATTTGTGTTTGTTTCTCTGCCTTTTTCTCACCCATGACAAGCAATTCCACTTCATTTCTTCACCCTTTTCTCTCGTCCTAATCTGTTCGTCTTCGTGTTCCATGCTTGCTTCTTCTTTCTTCTCTTTTGTTTCTTTCACTTCAACCTGCAAAACCCACATTACCAATCAATCTTGTTCATCAATGCATATACTTTTTATCATGTTTCTAATGTCTAGGTTGAATTAAGGGTACAGATAAAGAGACTGGCTGGTGGGGAATGTCTAAGTTGAATTCTTGGTGCAAGAAAAGAGGCAAAACATGCAAGACTTGAGGTGTGGATTATGTTGCCATAAAAGGGCATACCAATTAAGATTCTTTAGTGGCCCACATGCCTCAATTATTTCTGCAACAAAACAGCCTACTCTCTTACACTCAAAACGTAGCTGATGTGCTGAGGGACCAACTCATCTTAAATAGTCGGCACTGTGTCAGCCAATCCTACCTGTCTTTTCTGTCTTCAGAATATAAGCCACGCATTATCTTTTAAATCAGTTAACCACTAAAATGGCATGTATTTTCCAACTGTGGTCTTCCTTGTAGCAAGTTGAAGGGCATAAGACTGAAAATAATTACGGCATAATATTTTTATGTACTTAAAGTTCACAAATAATTTTAAATATATATATAATATTTATATTTATATGTTAAAATTATAGTATAAAATTTTCATTTACTTAAAGTTTAAGTTAAAATTTTAATTTTTTAATTTAAACTATTAATAATATTAACATTTATACGTTGTTGTTTATTTAAAAAATATATATAATAAGGTTTTAATATACTAAAAGTTTAAGTTTAAGCATGAACTAAACTCTAATTTGAGTTTTAACTGAGTTAAGTCTAAGAATATTTCATGTTCGTGTTTTTGAACTTGGGTTGAACTCCAATTTGATTTCGAATTTTAGTTGAGCTTTATAATTTTAAGCTTGCGAAATTTTAAGTCGAGTTGAGCTCAACTTTAAATTTTTCGAGACAAATCGAGCCCAACAATACTCAAATCTGACTTGTGTTATTGAAGTCTTAGAAATAACGTACCTGTTCATCAGGTTTTGATTTGGTGTTAGAGATGGGTGAATCTCCGGTTTCAGTTCCCGGTCGATTTAATGGTGTCTCCAAGATCGAAGGGGTTGAAACAGAGGTAGGAGTACTTTGAGTTGCCGCATCTCTAATTAAGGATTCACCTCTGGTTTCTGGAATCACATGGTCAACTAAAACTGATGAACCTGGAATGGGGAAGCCAGCAATGTCTTCCTCTTCCTCAAGTGTTGTTGAGGGGTAAACCAGTGGACCAGAAAGGTTGATTTTGTTTGCCAATTTTCGGAATGACCTTCCGCTCAGCGTTTTTGCCGATAAACATTCCATCGGAAACTCTCCCGAGACAGGGTTACAAATGTACTTCTCAGCCTCATTCCACTTGGAGTTTAAAGCAAACCCCTCTGGCGAGCATTCCAAACTATTGTACAATGACCGCGCCTGCAATGCTGCACAAGAAATCCAGATTCTTTTCATGTAAAGTTTGGGTACATGGATGATTTAGAAGTTACCTTTAAGAGCTGTGGTGAATGAATATGTGGAAGGATCGATCCCATCTGTGAAAACGATGCCAAAGTTTGGGATTAAAAAAGGAAACTGTCCATGGAAGATGAGCAAGGGAGGTACCTTTGAATGAACATGCTGGAGACGAGGTGTCGCTGGAAATGGTGAACTTGGATGGGAATGAGCTTGTGTTTCTGATGAATGAACCTGAGTATCTTCTTGAAACGGTGTATTCATGGCGGATTCGAGCTCTAAGACCCCACTCTCTCAAACTCAACTCTGGTTGTTCCTGAGCGGACGCCATGAACGAAGCTACAATTTGAACTGCAAGGTTTAAAATCCGCGTGGAATTTAAAGCCGGGTACAGTAAAATATCAAAAAATCCGAGATTATCTTATTCTCGATTTCCTTTTTGTATTTTTTTCCCGATTTTAATACTATATTTATTATCGGTCGTGAATTCACATGGCAATTTTAAATTCAAATAATAACCCTGAATATTTGAGTTCACTTTAATTCCAGTATCGTAATGATCCTCCTGTATGAATATAATGTATTTAAATATTTGAATTCAAATCTATATAAATAATTTATATAGACTATTTTTTATAATTAAAATAATTACATAAGAACTCTTTTAATTTTATTTGTGGAATCCAAAAAATTAAAGTTTAGGTTTAACGAATTATTTGTCTTTTAAATTATATACCTGTTTCATCAAATTGTTTTCAATCTTGAATACTTTAATATTTAATTTTATTATCAATCCACCTCAAATCGTTAGCGTCGGTTAAAAATTTGATCGACACAAAAAAGAAAAGATTAAGACTGATGACATTTTTGGAAAGGATTAATAATTTTGTGTGATGCTTAATATTCTGAGTTGGCTCGGCTCCTCTCAAGTATGAAGTAGTAGACCTTTGTAGCTCCGCGGTGCAATAGGTTTAATGACACTTACCCTGTTTAGACAGATAAGTTATAGTATACCTTTGGATTTTGATGTTCATTTTAGCTTCAACTATCAAAACTCAGTCCACATATTCATTTATTTCATCCTTCTATTTGTGTCCAACTTTATGATTTAAGGCTAAAAGATTATTATATACACAAAATAACGAATATAATCATGTCACATCTAAAATGTACAATCTATTCACATGTAACATCTAAAAATCAACAATTTAATTTGATGTATGTCTTTCTTTTTCTCAGACAATAAATTCTGGGCACTAGCATTTGGAGGTTTAGGGTATAAAAATAACGTCTAATTTATAATTAAAACTAGATAAGATAGCGGTCTTGATCCTTGAGGGTGGGGCCTCTAAGGAATAGATGGGTTTCGCAAGTGGAGGTGATAGATACCGAGGTGATGGGGAGTGGCATGTGCATGTCATCCATCACAAACAAGAGGTTAGAGGAATAGGTGGCCGTAGTTTTTGATACTCCCAATGTAATGCAGGTTTCACTGAAAGGGAGACGAGAGCTGTCTCTGCCACTAGTTTCTTGCTCCCTTTTCTTCCAGATTTTTTTTGGAAATGCCAGACAAATACATCGTCGTCTATGCAACTCAAATACACCCTATTAATGTCACACTAAAAACATTACATAAGCACGTGTATTAGTTGATTAATTCTATGCTGCCAAAGTATGAAACGGACTAATGTGGCCACCACAGCTTCGGATCCGACTCCAATTTGTGGGCCGATGAAAGTAACACCCGCAGTCGGTGACAGATCCAGAAACTATTGTCAACCTGTTGGTGCAGTTGTCCTTCTTTAATGCAGTGTCCATACAGGCAGGCCGCCACTTCTTTCGGCGCCTGATGCTCCTGTTGGTTCAAGAAAACTGTTTTCGTTCTCCAATATTACGTGCATATCTTCCAGTACTGGTTTTATAGAACAGTGCAGCTGTATTCACTGAAGAAAATCTTTGGAACAAAGTTATTTGTGCTCCACGTGCTACAGTATATCAGGTCTATGTTCTTAACCATAACTTAAATTTCTCTAATGGTGGCAAGTTTAGCAGATGACATCCTTGTTCCTTGCACCAGATTGCAGATCCATAAAATGTTCTTGTCCTAATACACCATGCTATTTCAGAGAAATATCATGATTTTATGAAACAAGCTGGTATTCCCCTAAATCCGAGTTTCAACCTCTAGAATCTCAATTGTATTTGTATCCAGAAAAGAAACCATACAATATATTCTGTCATAAGGGGATATTACTGTTTGATAAATACCCACCATTACACATCCTAAGATCAAAAACAATAAATTGCCTCCACTAAACTAAATTTCAAGCAAATATCCCAAAACTTGTCATTAAGAGCAATTTTTTCCCAAAAAACATGTTCTTTTGGGGGGGGGGGGGGGGGCTATGAAGGGCAATTAATAGAAGTACCAAGTTGTACCCAGGCAAATTCCTGCTTGTAACCTACACCTTCACAAGAGGCTTCACATGTATATACCACAATCGTTGCCCAGTCAAGAGAATCTGCATCATTCTTCACCCCAAAGAAATAAAGCAACTGAGGCAATATCTGAACAACAAATTTGCATAGAACTTGTATTAGAGACTTCCTTTTCAAGTGACAATGAAGACCTCAAGGTGGAATTAATATTTCTAAAATCAACAAAAGATCCACAAAAAATTATCATGCAGATTTGAAATTTTTTTCTCTTGTTTTTGAACTTGATAGATAACCGGGCTTCCATGAAGGTAATATTAGCAAGTACCTGAAATTCAAAACATAGGCGACCACCACAATAGCTGCACAAGGGAATATCAGCCTTGGAAGGGTGACCACCTAAGATAGGCCACAGTGGCTTAGAACCAGCACTCCTACAATATCTGTCATTGTTAAAAGACACATATATGATCAGATTTCTTTAAATGTTTTTCAATGTATTTGAAGATCATTTGGAGATCAAATCCCCATATCCATGAGTATGAAACAATTGTTGGACACAAATGCTTCAAGAAAAATGAAGAGTTGGAGCAACATAGATGCCATCCTCCATATTAAGGTAATGCAACCTGTGCAGGGTGCTTTATGGTTTATGCAAAATAAACATGACAGAGTCCCAACGCACAAGTATTTTCTGATGGTGCACATGAAGTCAATAAAGTGTACAATTTCTCACCTCAAAACTTGTTCAGGAGCCTTGGCTATCCGCTCTTGGAAAGAAGCCCAACTCTTTTTGTCACCATCCCCCTACGCAACAAAGGATGCAAGCATTAAGATAATCAAAACAAGAATTCGTTAACAAGCCACTGCAACAGCCAACAGTGCCAGTATCAAAACCTCAAAATTATCCATAAGTGATTTCGTTGCATCATCAACCCTGTTCCTCATTATTAATGAATTATCGGTATGTCCCTCATCTCCAGACATCTCAGTATCATATTCACTTTCGTGTTCATTTTTCATCTCATACTCTGGCCATAAACTCTTGCTTGCAACTGTTTAAAATGCAAAATTTAGCAAGAGAGAATTCAGAAATATCATCAAACAAAATTTGTCTAGACTCTGCAGTTTAAACACACGTTCACTCTATTCTTAAAAATTATCCCAGAAGAAAATGGCAGAAAGCCTGGCGATTAACATGCCAATTTACAAGTCAACAACCCAGGGTAATATCAATTAATACTTGCCTTTTTGGGCTTTAACTTGTGCAATTCCACCATGGAATGCACTGGGGTCAGATGACTGAGGTGAAAGACTCAGCTGTTGACATTCAAGTTTATGACCCGTGCGCCAGTGCATCACCTGAAATGTGATAAAACAGATAAGGTAAGTAGGTAAATAGACTCCTGACAAGTGAAAATAACTAGAATTTAACAACTACCTGGTGTTTTTGTGAGCAATATTGTGCTACTTTGCAACTACTGCAAAACTTATCTCCTTTCCAGGTGCCACACCAATTGCAGAGTGGAACTGCAACATGAATACACGAGGATAAAACACATTATGAGCGTGAATGCAATTGATGAACCCAATTTGAGTTGGGTAATGCAGTGATACAAGAAGATGATATTGATCCCTAGAATAAAGTGATCACTATAAAGTAATATCAAGGAAAAATCGAGTGCATATAAACACAGACAAGGTAATTAAGAAAAACCCACTTCAATGTCAACTTATGCCAGAATCTAATGACATATATAAACAGAACCAAAAATAAGAAAAGAGCATGAAATCAGCAGCACTGGAACTCACAGCTGTTCCATACTGCATGGATACATTCGAGAATCATTATTCTCATGATGGAAAATGCTTTCTTCTCTGTTATTTCACTATCCTTTTTAAGTAATACTATGGTTTCATATGAAACTTTACATCAAAAATTTAAGAAGCTTCCCTCTTTCAGTCACTTCTCAAATCTATTGAAAATTTCAAATCAAGCGATCTGCAAAGAAAAACTTGTATAACAAGACTCAAGTATCCCAGCGTATACATGATCTTGGTGGGAAAAATGAAGAGATGGATAAATTGAGAAACCGGTTTGTTTGATGAAAAAGAAAAGAAAGAAATCAACGATGAATTAAACAACTACATTTGAAATGCTGATAGCTTCCTCTTCTTTCCTCCCATTTATGGATGAACTAAATTTGAAAGATATAAATGAAAGAAAATTCCTTCCTACTACTATTTCCACCTAAAGAAAGAAGGGAAATGCAAGCTCTTTTCTTTCAATTTATTTATTTTTTGTTACAACATACCCCTATTGCTCTGCCCAAGACAACTCAAACCAAAAGCTGGTAACTTAATGCAAAACTCATCCCTTCAAATTAAGCACATAGTGAATGGTGAGATTATAAGATCTTACACAAACACAAACTTAGTTATATTCTCAAACATAGATGTAATATACCAAAAAATTCCAAAGTTACCTCCAGGGGTTAAAGGTTTGTCAGCCGCATTGCCTTCAGGGGGTTTACTTGAATAATAAGGATTAGTACGAGGCAACTGGCAACGAAAAACCTTCACACTTGAGAAAACAAAACATAACTCAGAAAGATAAAGAACATTGAAAATTCTAACATTGAGAGGGGGAAAGGCATGAACTTGACAGATATTTGTTGATATACCTCCTCGATTGCTTATCCGGATGGCGCTTCCATTGTTCATGTTGATCTCGGAGAAGACATTTCATGGACAGACACATGAATACAAATAATGTTCGATGAAATGTGGAGTCTTTTTCGACTAATGGAGCATAAACCTAGGAATTCAATGAATATGAAAATTAGCACTATCAGCTTTCTTCTGCCCCTCTGTCTGACAAGCACGTGGTAATTCAAATCAAAGAGAAAAACTCCAGAGTGTAAGTCTATAACTATCAAAATAGGTTCAGGTTTTGAATTTCAAGTAACGACTCGAGCAGAATGACTTAGAAGGGTAATCAAGCACTCATACTTTTCTAATACAACAAAAATTTAAAACAAAATACAATATTGAAAAGAATTTATTCGAGTTCAAAGTAGAACTCAAGTCAAACAGAACATTACAAAAAAAAAAGTGTACCTGGAGTAGGAATTGCAGAGGTTCTCCGCATATGTCACAAACACCAGATATTCCTGAGGGTAAATTATCGGGGTCCAACCAAGCCTGCAAATAAAAAAATACCATAAAAATCCCAAAAATGCACGTTTTTAATATTCAAATAGTAAGCAAAAATGAAGAATATGAAGTTTACTGGGACGCCTCCCGCTTTGCTTGGAAACTGTTGACGGAGAAGTGACCTGCTGTGCTCAGGCTTTTCAACGAACCCAAGAATTACATTTTCATCTTCTTCTTCTTCTTCTCCATCATCTTCGTCATTATCATCTTCATCTAAAACGATGTCTTCTTCGTCGTCGTCGTCGTCAAGAGGACTAATTCGGAGGCCCCTGAGCTCATCCATGGAATCTCCCTTGCCGTCAATATCCATTTCGTTTCCGATTTCTTAATAAAATGAAGTGAAGAAAACTGTAAAGCTTTTTACTTGTATTAGATGCAGCAGAGGGATAATAGAACTGAAGAATCAGCTGCGGTGGTGGACTTGGAGCAAGTGGATTCAGCTGGCGGGAGGCGACAGTGGCGGCGGTGCAGCTTAAGGCTTAAGGGGAGAGTATCGTACTAGGTTTAGGCTTTTAGCCAGAGGAGTCGCAGACCGGAGATGGTGATGAATCAATAACCCTAAAATTTGGTAGGTCGGCCCATTGTTTTAGGGGTTAAAGTTAAGCAGACTTTTTTTTTTTTTTTTGGATGAATCGAATTTTATTATCTAAATAGCATAGAAATGTTACAAAGCAATCTACCAATCTGTAACAAAGAAGATTAAAAACAACCTACTTACAACAAACACAGATTGATTAGACTATACCCCAAGCATTACAAAGGTTAACATTAATACTATCTAATCTATTGATATTTATACCCTTAAGTTGAATACCAACAGCTTCTTTAATCTTTTTCAGCATGTCTTCGATAGTTCTCTTACGAAATACACAAATCATCCTATTATCAAAGAATATTAGTTAAACTTCTCAACTCCCAAATTATTTAGAAAATTGCCAAAGAATTCTCATAATAACACAAAGTATCCCACATGTGAGTATGACTTCAATGGAAGTCACCTACATGTGGTGACCTTTTTGTAGTAGGGGTAAAATTATATGATTATTTTATCAAATCAAGTTAGTCAAATTTAATGTTATTGTTGTTTTTGTTGCCCTCTAGATCTGGATTAATCCGGATCGCACACCTGGTTTTGGTGGATGAGTATCTAGGCAGAGATTTATTGTATACACAAGGATTTGAACATGAGATATTGTTTAAGCAATATCAAGCTAGTTACCACTTGAACTAACATCCGTTGGTTATTATTATTGTTTCATTATTCAAATAATTTATTTTTTAGCAAATTAAATCGAATATATGATTCTAGTGGATTTTAATTGAAATTACTCTCTCTATAAGATATAAATATAATCATATTTTTTTCACATGTGTAAATAAGATTTATAATGTTATTTTATAACTCAAATGTGATTTAAATTTGTATAAGAAGTTTGTAATCTCATTTTTTGGGAAAAAAAAGATTTTGGGATATAGTATTGATTGAAGTATAAACGAGATAATGAATTGATTAGAAGGAACAAATTGCAAAGAGTTGTAGTCAAATGACTAAACTGAATAAAAAGCAAAATTGAGTTAAATTGTAAAAATAAATAATTTGTTGTCAAAAAGATGAATTGAAGTTATATATGTACAATGTAGTGATTGATGAGTATATGGTTCAAATTTAATCAAAAATAGACTTAGAGTGAATGAAAAATTGAAGAAACAAAGAAATCATACCAAATTTAGTCTAAACTGAACAAAAATTAAAACTACTTAGGTATTGTAAAAATGATTGAAGAGAATAGAGTTCAAATTTGGCAAAAAAAGAAACTGAACTTAAAATAAATAAGGGATCGAATAAACAATAAAATTACGGATCACATCACGTATTAATCAAATTACTTAGCTAATGTCTAAAATAATATTATTATTATTTTTTAGTTATTCAAACTTTACAAATTCAAACATGATTCAAACTCATAATTAGAATTAAAGTTTTAAATTAACTTAAATACCACTAAATTAAAAAATATTTTTCTAAATCGAACCGAAATTATTTTCAACTATCTCTAATGAATTTGTTTATGAATTATAATTTTTTTAGTATGAGCGAATATGCGCATTGTATGTATGCACTGTTGCTATTGGTTGTTCGATTCATAATTTGTTGATCCTTCTAGAGAAAATGAGTTTTTCTAAATTTTCAAATTTAGGATACAACAATCTCTTTGATTAAAAAAAACTGTACGGCAGAGAAAAAACCTACACTACCTACCCATTCAAACCTCAAAATTCACAGCTATGACTAGCTAACCGGCTCAACTTACACCCTGTTATAGCAGTGACCTTCAATCGCACTAGCTCTTTTAACCGACACCCATGGCGCTTCCACAGAGCTGTTCTTCCCTTTAAAACTCGACAGTTTCGCTCCTTCCAAATCAAAGCAAGGAAGCAGTTCCACGCTAACCGAAATATATAGGACAGAGCAGACTTACCCTTAGCATTACAACACGCCCAACCCTGCTCCAACTCCCAATCCATGACCACTCTCTTCACATTACAAGCCAACAAAATTCTCTCCCAAATCTGTTTCGAATAAGAACAGTAAAAAAATAAACGATCACGAGATTTAATATAATGCACAAAACATACATACTATCAATATTCATGCCAAAAGATATCAAACGACTCTTAGTTGGAACCCTATCTAAGACAACCATCCATGACAGAACCAACTGTTTAGGGATATGGCCCGAATGCCAAACCAATCTATCCCAAGACACTCTATCCCCATGACACCAAATAGCCTTCCAAATGTCAGCAACCGACATCGGAGTATCAATCAAGGGAGGACCAATTGCAGCCGCCTCCCCCCCTCAACCGCAAAAGGGAGATCTAGACCCACCCAAAATCAGGCGAAATTTAAAGGTCGATGGCGACTTCAAATTTATTTGTTTTTGAAACCCCGATCTTTTTCAAATTAAGTTGAATCGATTCTCGCTTGACCCTAAAAAACTAAAAAATAGTTCCAACATAACTCACATGACCCTAATCCCAACCTAATATACATCTGACATGACCCAACCTGACCTAAATATGTACATATAATTTATTTATGTTAGATAAAATAAGAACCTAATTGATAAAAGTAAAATAAAAAGATATATTATTGTAATTATATCTAAATATATAATGAATAATTATGATATTATATTGGATCATATCAAATTTTTTATCCCTAGATCCTAACATGATCCTACATGACTCTAACCTTTAAAAAAAATCTAATCCAAGCTAAATTAAACCGAAGTCTCATTAAATTCGAGTGAAATGACCATCCCTTGTAACCCTCCATGTTGATATTGAGCCCGAGTCTTTCTTTAATGAGGTTAGTAGAATTGTATGCCATACCTCCCAGATGGAATGAAGGCGGGGGAGTATCCCTTAAAAATTTAAATTTATTATATATTTTAGAATTTTTCTATGTATTTTTTATTGAAAATCTATTTTCACTTCTATAAATTTTTATAAGTTCAAGTTTGCTCTTTTAAAATTTTAAAACTTCAAGTTCACCCTCGCTAACATAAAATTTTACGTATATCCTTGTACCGTATGACCTTTCTCACAAAGTTAGAAAAAACATGCATTTAAGAAAGAAAGTTAAGCAATCTTCTACCATTTAGCTTTAGCGTCATAAAGTAAATTCTTTGAGAAAGATAAAGTAAGTTGGAGGGGCTGCAATGTTATTCATGCTAATTGATAAATTATACATTACTACTGAGAATGTAAATCATGTTATATTTTGGTTTACTCTCGGTTATATCCGTTTGGTATTCTTTAAGCAATTACAATATTTATATATATATATTTTCAAAAAAATTATTAATTTTAAAATTATCTTTTAAGGTTAAATTAACCCTTATACTTTTAATTAAAATAAATTATGCTTTTGTATTAAGTAAAAAAATCAATTATGTCAATGAAATTAGTTAAAAACCAGTTCAACTCTTCTACTATATCACCGTATACACATAAATTGTTATGTCAGTATTATAGCCTACGATGTCAACACAGTTAATTATCAGGTCAATATTATAACAATAAATATTTATCAAATAAAATTAATACAATTAAAAAACATGGACGACATCATTGATTTAGTTTTACTTCAGAGGCCCCTTAAACAAAATTTTAAAGAATTAATTCACCCACATCTTAATATAATCCACTTGAAATAGTTTATCCAAATAAATCAATTAAAAATATAAGAAAAATTATTTTTTATTAAATTATATTTTTTACGAAATTTTAAGCATAAATTTGATTTAAGCCGATCCACATTTATAACGTCCCATCCAAATACATTTATTAAAAGAGTGTGATTTAATTGCAATTTAATCATTCTTAATTTTAGCTGTAAACAGAAGTCCTAGTTTGTATTCACCACGAGTGTCGTTGTACGAACATTTGTCTCTCTATAAAACCCAAACATATATAACTTTTTGTGTGTATTTCAAATTATTTTCAATGGCGACTTTTTTAGGATCAATGGAAGAGATGAAGAGAGTGTTTAACAAGCTCGACAAAAACGGCGACGGAATGATCTGTCGCGACGAATTGAAATTGGCCTTAAGCACTTTAGATTCCGAATCCTCTTCCGACGAAATCGATAAGATAATGATGGAGATGGACAAAGACGGAAATGGCTATATCGATCTGGACGAGTTCATCGCTTTTGATGGAATCGCTGGAGATGAAAACCAGATGAGCAGCAAAGAACTGAAAGATGCGTTCAACTTGTACGATCTGGACAAGAACGGGTTGATTTCGGCCAGCGAGTTGCACGCTGTGTTGAAAAAGTTGGGGGAGCAATTTTCGTTGAGCCATTGTCAAAGAATGATTAGTAAGTTCGATGAAAATGGCGATGGCAACGTTGATTTCCAAGAGTTTAAGAAGATGATGATGACTAATGCTTAAAAAAAGGTTAGGGTTTTACCGTTTTACACGTTTTTAGATTAATTTGTTTGTTTAGTTTTAAAAAGATTTCTTTTGATTTCTAGTTATTATTAATTAATAATATTTTATTTTTAAAGGTTTTAATCCTTGATTCACGGCTCTATATTTGTTTTATAATAATTAAATAAACATGATTAATAAAACATAAACATTATTTTTTATTTTTAAATGAAAATTTAAAAAAATATAAATTAATGCTAGTTTTCGAAAACATGTGAAGCTGTTACAACGTGAAATATTTAATATTTGTTCTTTTTTAAATATTTTTTCAAGTGATGATTTGATAAATTGATTTTAGGAATTCAAGTTTTAAATGAAAGAAATTGATGTGTAAATGTCATTAATAAATTTTGAGTTGATAGGATTTTTTTTTAGAATTTGTTATTATGTTTACAGCGAATAGCAAGGGTAGGTTAGAAAATTTATTGTAGGCAAGCCAATTAATAATGACATAAATTCTCAAAATTAGATATAAAGATGCTATGGGAATTTCGTTTTGATATACTAATTAATATAATATTTTAATTATATATATCTTAAAAAATAAAATAAATTTATAGTATCTCCTCCCAATTGAAATGTTGATTTTTTTGGGTCAATTTTTTTAAAACTTTGACTGTATTATTAAAAATTTATTATTGAAAAAATAAAAAAAAAATATATTTTAGAAATCTTCAATCAAGTAATTTTAAAATATATATCTTATAAAATTTAATTTTTTAAAATGTTTAAAATAGTTACGGTCAAAGTTTAAAAATTTTAATTTTTGAAAAGTCAATAAGATACAATTTTAGTGGGATGGGGAAAGTAATAAAAAACTAAGATTATATTTATATTATTTTTATAAAAAAAATCAGAAAATTATAAATGTGATATGAGTCACTTTTTTGTTATGATTTTCTAACGATCGTGACAGAATTAATCTAAAAATGATAACTTTAAACACTTTAAATACTTATTTGGATCTAAAAAATAAGTATATTTTTGAATTGATATTAATATTAATTTAATATTTTTTATTTGAAACTTTATAAAAAAATCTTTTTAATTTTTAGTATCAATTGACACACTATCACTTTAATGGCTCCGCCAATGATTGATGACATGGCCATGCATAATCCACATGAGACAACGAAGAGATATGCTTATTTACCAACTTAATATCACTTTTGAGCTATGTTTTTAAAATCGGACCGACTTTAAACCGGTGAAGATATGGTTCATTAGTTTAATCAGGTTAAATCGCGGTTGAACCGGTTTATATAAAATAATATTTTTTAAAATTTTACATAATATTCAAAGTAATATTAATATATATATATAACACTATTTTCAAGTTCACAATATTAAAAAGTATAAAAATAACACAAGTCATAGCATATATAAGTTAAATATCATAATATCAAGTGAAACAAAATGATTCAAATCAACTACAACATAATATTTAAGGTCAATACCCAATGAAACTTATCAACAACTAAATAAAAAAAGTAAATAATTGATACAAGTATTAAGCATCATAATATTCATTGAAATTGATTCTCTCAAATTCCAAAATATTAGGAATTTTTTTTTCATTAGTTGAGCTACCACCACCTTCACCACTTTGAACTTGAAACTCCATAATATCACTTTGAACTTGAAAGTCCACAACATCACCTAGCAATATGATAAATAAATACAAAGTTAAATTTAAATTATCAAACAATATTTAACAATTAAAAGTAAAAGAGTAAAACACATTAAATAATAAATATAATTATATAACTAAAATAAACAAGCATAGATTAACCTTCATTGTTTTTTGATGATAATTATATAACTAAAATAAATTTAGGACTGAAAAAATCATAACTAAAATAATTTATTGTTTTTTGATAATAAATTTGATTTAATTTTTAAAAAAACAAAATCGTCGGTTCACACCGGTTTTGTCGGTTCTCAACCAGTTTTACCGATTCATTGCAAAACTGGTTTTGGAGGCTGACCGGACCGAACAGACAATTGATTCCCGGTTCAATCAGTCGAACCGACCGATCTGATCCAATTTTGATAACATTGCTTTTGAGTTTTGACCCCAAAAAGAAACAACTTTTCAACACCGTGGCATTTCCATATATTATACATTCCATTATTGAAGAAGCGATTTATTACTTCCTGTTAGAGGTGGGTATATGGGCTAAGGCCCGCGGGCTACCCGTTTAATCCGCGACCCGTGCGGGTTTTGGACATCAAAAACTGAAGCTCGTTTAAATTGCGGGTTTTTTAGCCCAGACCGTTAAACCTGCGAGTTTAATGGGCATAACCGCGGGTAGCCCGCGAAGCCCGCTTAATTTAAAATTTATAAAATTTTAGAGAAAATAAACTTAAAGAATTTTATAGAAAAAGAAAATAAATTTCCTATAAATATGATGTTACTTATAACCATTGTAGTTCTTAAATTTATTAGGGCATTTGTCATAATTCTACCGCTAGAGATGGCAACCCGAATCCGACGGGAAAAATCGAAAATCGAATTAAACGGGAACGGGAAAAAATTGTTTATGCTAAACAGGGATGAGGACGAGGAAAAATCGTTTATGCTAAACGGGGACGAGTTTGGTAATCCCCGCCCCGATTACCCGATTACCCGACCCGATACCTGACCCGATAAATATTAAAGATAATTATATATATATATATATATAATAATATTAATAAATTTAATTTAAATTAAAAAAATATATAATATTTATATATTTAATTTAAATATATATATATATATCCGGCCCGATACCCGTTTAAATAACCATTTATGCTAAACGAGGATACCCATTTCCCCGCGGTTTTCCCTAATTACCCGATGGGGATCCCCGTTTAAATCTCCGCGGTTTTTTAAATGGGGACGGATTCGAGTTTTTTAAACGGGGACAGGGGGACCAATACCTGGCCCGAACCCGACCTGTTGCCATCCCTATCTACCGCTGCTTGATACTTTTTTTTCATTTACAATGTATCAAAATATTCTTCATTTTAAAAAATAAAAAATAAAATATTTATATAATATTTTAGTCTTATAAAATTTACATGATTATCACTTTGGTATTTAAAGATTTTTTTATTTAATTTTGACCTTTATTTTTTTCATGAAGTATGTTATCCATTTTATTCTTTTATTATAAAAAGTTACGTGATATTCTAATAATATATATTACATAACACGTAATATTTAGATTAAAAATAAGAAAGAAAAGTAAAATAAAAAATTGAAAACATATTTTTCAACTTTTAAAGGTTTTTACAAAAGAAAAATTGTTAGATTTGTATAATGTTTGACTTTGTTGAATTTTTTAGTTTGAATTTCTGCTTCCAGACATTTTTGTGTCTTCTTATTATAGCATTTAATAATCGCGTTTTATAAAAGTATAACGTGGTTATTGTTTTATTTGTTTTTCAATTTGGTGATATAAGTGAATATTGTTTTTTTAATTTGAGTTTAAGTAATTATATCGTTATATATATATATATATTAATGATTAAAAAATTTAAAAATATATTATTTTATAATCATTTCCGGCTATTTAAAATAAAATTTAAATATTATTAATTTTTTTGACGGTGCTACATTCATTTCCAAGTTACTGGATCATTTTTAAAGGTGTAGCAAGTTAGAACATTATTTTTTATTGTATTTAAAACATTTAAAATTATTTTTATTTAACGGGCCGCGGGTAAGACCGTTTAACCCGCGAGTTAAATGGACGGGCCGCGGGCCTTAGAATTCAAAATTGTTTATAATTACGGGCTTTTTAAACCGCTTCGTTTAAGCCCGCACCGTTAAAACATGCGGGCTAAACGGACGGGTAGCCCATATACCCACCTCTACTTCCTGTAAACACACTTTTTGACCAAAAGCATGCATATATATATATATATTATTTTATGTATATGTTATATGTATTATTAACAAACATTTTATTATTATTTACATGCCCAATGAACAGTTACAACCAGTCAGGCCTAACATTGGCCCTTTTCCAAGCCCCACGACCCGGTACCACCTAGGGTTGTTTGGAAACCCTAGCGTCGCATGCCTTATCTCTCCTCCACAGTGTCGCGCAGTAGCCCCAACAGCCCCGAGTCCACCGCCGATTTTTTCGGCCTTCAAAGTCGTGCTTCAATGGGACTCACCAACAACCCACGAAGACAACAAACAAGAGCAACCAACATCAGTTTTTTATTCAAACTGAAACTCTAAAAATAGCCATTCTTTGGACTATAAATATTATGTAACTCACACACAAAAATGGAGGCAAAATAACGAAAGAGCATAGCAATCAAAAGCAAGTATTTATACTCTTTGAAGCAAGAAATAAAAAGGTAGCGTTTTTACCTTCTATTCAGTGCGTGTTCATCTTGCATGCGTGTTTTTGTTTGGTTTTTTTGAACTTGAAAACCCTAAAAAGGAGTAAATCGACCGATAAACGGGGGCTTGATCGAGATCTTTCACGTTAGATCTAGTCCTAGAGGCTTGATTTTTAATAAAATATTTTTGATTTTCTAAAAGAAGAGGAAAAAAGGTTTAAAATAAAAAAAAGTGTGCCGCCGATGACCGGTGGTCGGCGTCGGTTAACGGCGGCCGACGAGGCGGCGCTACGGCCGGATTCTGGAAATAGCGGCGGCTGTTCTTTATCTTGAATAACAGCCCAAGATCATTTGAGATAAATTCTCTCTTCTTGGGGTTTGATCGAGTGAAAGGAAGAAGGGAAATGAAAGTTAAGTTTGACCCGTGTACCCGACCCGAGACCCGAACGGATCCCCTAGGGAATCCGTGTGTTTTTAAAGAAAGTAGGGTAAACTACGCTTTTGGTCCCTCGTTGTTTTCAAATGCCCATTATGAACAAATCGAATTTCCCTTTTTTTTCTTCTTCGAGATTGACCCTCAAATTTAACTGGTATTTCAATTTCGTCCTTCTAAAATTAGCATATATATATATATATATATATATCATTTGT